CACGCTATGTGCACCTGTTCTCACAGCGCTACTTCCTGTTAAAAAAAAAATAATAATAATAATAAAAACAAACAGGAATCACACAGAGAAGCGCCCCTCACTACTCCCAAACCCCTGCAGTTAAAATAATTACGTTGGAGAAGACATTTATGAGCGGGGAAATATCGCGTGTAGCGCATGCAAACCTTCAAAGGCACACAGCGCGCTTCACCCACATACAGGCAGATGCCACCAAACGAGTCTTACATTGCCTCCCACGGAACTGAACAAGTGATCAGGCACAGAAACACGCAAACACAGGCTCACTGATCGCTCCCACAGGTGCTAAGGGGGTATTTTTGCCACAGCACCACGGAAACAGGCGCTGAGCCCTGCAGCTGGGCAGCAGCCGGCGTCTCCTCACCGCCTGTCTCCCTGCGCTGGTAGAGGAGCCCGGAACAGCCGCCCTGTGTCCCCCACGAACACACCTTTATCCTCATTTACTTTTCTCAATTAAAGGCCGGGGTGGGAGGGGGAGCTGCCGAGGTCTCCGAGCAGGTCACCCACCGCCCAAGCGCCTCATTTCCTTACCTGCCAGCGGAGCTCAAGTTTCACAACTTGGCGAGGATGAGCATTTACCCTCCAGCAGAGCCGGGTCGCTTTAAAACCCTCCTCAGCGGCTCGGCGTCCTAACAAAAATACCCCCGAGGAGAAGCCACCCAGCAGCGGCGCCCCCAAGCACCCGGCTGGCACCGCCCGCCCGCGGGGACCGACCCGACCCGCGGCACGGCAGAGGCGGCCCCAGGTGCGCCACACGGCGGTGGGCGACCGTTGGGCGACCGTTGGGAGACCGTTGGGGCTCGCCTCACGGGCGCGAGGGACGCGGAGCCTGCGCCCCCCCCCCCGCTGCTGGCTGCGGGGCCGCCCCCTGGTGACGCCGATCCTTACCTCGACAGGGCTTCTAGGTTAAATTAAGCCTTACGGTATTAACTGAGAAAACCGATACGCTTTCTCCACAGACACCGAAATCTGACATTTTTAGTGCTTAGATTTGAAATCAGAAGTGCTTTCTCAGTCAGATAGCACAGAGCAATTATACCGATAGGGCGTTTTAGGCCTTGTTTCTTTTGACCCTACTTCTAAAAAGCTTCTCTAATGCTACGTTTACAATTACAGAAAGCATCCAAGGAAGCAACACACAGAACAGACTCACAATCAAAAGGTACGTGGCTGCTGTCTGTAGAGGTTCCTGGCTTCTTCGAGTAACAATAAAAACTCCACAGGTTTCGCTCATTGAGGCTTTACTTCGAGCCAGCGTAGCACCAGCAAGTTTTGTGGTGCCTTGTTTTTATCCCACATGTGATACTGACACAGCTCTTTCACAGCATGCCTCTGCTGAGTGCCTCTGATGATGTCAGTTTTCCAGGGAGTTGACTAAACAGCAGTAAACATTTAGCAGAAAGAGAGATAAAGAGTTTCGGGTACCTGTAACTCAAGCAATGTAATTAAAACGCACACCTTTGGCTGTTTGTGGAGCAGTTGTATTTCAACCACCACAGTTTGCTCCTACCTCTGTGACATTGTTGACTTCCATCTAAAGAGTCTAAGCTTAGTTAATACACATGATTTTTAAATGTAATTATATATAACAATTATGCTCAATTTTAAAATTCCCTTTTGGCTAGCGTAAGCTTGCCCTGTATTTGTAAATGTTGAAGCATTTAGGTATTTTGCTTCCTGTTACCAATACACTCTGACCTTGTGAAGAGTTGTGTGTGATTTTAGTCTTCTCTTAAACTTCTACACAAGATCAAGACTATGAATGACGTACCAGGTATTCCAAATAAAGAATTGGACCTCAGTGACAGAGCGAACATGCCCAAGGTGGGGAAGAGAGAAAATGGGAAGTAGAATGCCTTTGAAACACCTCTGAACATGCTACAGAGTAATTAAAATTGGCAAGAATCCAGAGGCTGTGTATTCATTTGGCTTGCTTTCAAATTTCTCTTGTCTACCTCTCGGCTTTGAGGTAGTCTTCTTAAATAGGTCACGTGGAGGAATGGTCAAAATTATAATGGTTGATAACACTTGTATCCTTCATGCTGATATGAAAAAGTATTACTACAGCACTGCTGGTTGCAGTGTCAAACTGTTTGGGAAAGGGTCAGTGGAATTTGGAACCAACTAGACAAAGCTGAGAAACTTTTTCAACACCAACCTTGTTTCTCATTCTTTTCCCCAGCCATCCTTGCTGATGGTCTAAGACATGTGTCTGGGTGACTTTCCACATGATGAAAGCAGCAGCTGGGACCTCATTTACCCCTTTATGGCCACGTAGTGTTGTTGTTACCTCTTCTCTTGTTCACACCTGTAATTATCAAACCCATGCTGGCACATGCTGTACTCCAGTGTTTTGTTGGAAAAAGTGCTGCCAGCCAGTGCATGGGAAGGTGAGTGTGGCCTTGCCCTGGTGTTGTGAAGGGGAAGGACCTGGAACAGAGAGTTTGTGCAATCACTGCCACTCCCTTCATAAGCAGTGAAGGGCAGACGCAAGAGAGCTTAAGCAGCACAGGGCAAGCAAAGAACGCAAACCAGCGTCCTGCTACTGCTGTGATATTCACATGTAAACATTTCAGTGTTCTGTTTGTGTTTGGTGCGGATACTTCTGCAATATTGCTGTATTTTGGGCTAACTTGATCTTGTTGATCTGTCCTAAATCATGCTCAATGTTATTTTCACTGAAGTGGGTTAATTCCATGCCTCAGTGTAGCAGGTTTCAGAAGCACTCCCTCAGCTGTCCTGGCCTCTTGGCTAATTACCATTCCAGAAGTCCCCCGTCAATAAGAGTGGTTTCTTTTCTGCACTAGTGCAGACACATTACTGTCACAAAGCTAGCATTGTGTTAAGTCTTGGCCTCTCGTATACAACAATGAAGCTTATTCAGGGAGAACAGATCATCCTCAGAAAAAAAAAAAGAAAAAACAAGTTAGGAACCCCAAAAGAGAGCACTGCTGGGTGCTGCTTTACTGACCATTTTCATTTCTTCGGTGTCTGAAATAGGTGTAGTTATCTGTGACCTCCTAGATGTTGCTCAAACAGTTTATGTCCATAAGATATAACTACCATGCACTATGATCCAAATTGCCATTATATTTGCTGAAAAGTTTTTATAAAGCTTTAATTACACTGTTTATTAGGAAGAGTAAATTAACTTCATCTACTGTAGGTAAAATCCAGTCCCAACAATTCTAACTTTTTATAAGCAACTTACTCGAGAATTCTCACAAGAGATGTGTGAGATCTCATGTTCTACTTTATTGAGCTTTTGTCCAAGACTACAGTAAAGGTTAGCCAGCGTAATTTCACTTCTTTCCCCAAATCACCGTACTCATTCATAAACTACATTGTATGAAACACCAGCATTAAAACATTATGTACAAATAACATGATGGAGGACCGAAAGCTGCAAGCACTGTGTAATCACTTGTTTATGAACAAACAAGCCATTTAAACACTCAGAGGTTTCCTTTCTTGTAAATTTTGTTGAATAAACTGTAGACTGGTAATCATGGGATAGAGAATGCTTCCCCATTGACTCCATACAGCTAATCCTTTATGTTTCATTAGAAAGCTTTCCCTGCCTTATCTTCAAGGGAAATTTGTTGCCAGAAATTACCGATTTTGTCTCCTTAGGTAGAAAGCCTTCTCCTACCCTCTGAAACTTTTTTTAAACATATATTCATTTGTAATGGACAAGATTTGATTTTTTTTCCCCCTCTTTTCCTGTCATTATTTGGTGGAGTTACAGTGAAATATTCCAGATGAGCATTTATTTTTTTCTACGTAAAATTAGGCTTGAAATTTTCTTGTGATCTGGACAAGTAGAGGTACTTGTAACTAAATCTCAATATACTATTTTTTCTCTCTCAATTTAGAGTACCAAGAGTTCCGTAGCAGTATATACGATATAAAAGTCTTTCTTCATTCAGATGTCTCTCTCTCATCAGGTAAGATGAAATACACTTATTTTTATTCCTTAACATATAGGCACATTTCTTACGGAATACTATGCTTATTTAGCTGAATTGTTTTCCAGTCTTTTGTTTAAATTTCAGAAGTCTTTAATGGACAAATGGAGCTCTTAGAAACTCTTTCAGAAATGTACTGTTACTTTTGTTCAGCGTTTTTAAACACTTGTAAAGAAGCTATTGGTCTGGCTGCTAGCATTTAATTAGTTGGGATTATGTCAGACAGCTGTAACTAGCTGAGTTTAGCCAGTGGTGCCACAAGAACGTAGCTCCATCTAGCGTTCAGCTTCCAAAACAAGTACGAGTGATCTTGAAAGTGTTTGGAATTAACTTTCTCTGCTCCCAGGTATATACTAGTAGGTCCCTATGGACCTGGGCGGGGGAGGGTTGTAGGTTGACAAGTCTACCACAGTAAATAAAAACAACAACAACAAAAAAAAAAAACAACAAAAACAAACAAACAAAAAACTATTGGAGGGCAGGTGCAGTGTTTTGGACAGACAGCTGTTTATAACATCTGCATCCAAGTTAGCTGTAACCATCATGGAGAGACCTTCTTAATGCAGTCTGGAAAACAGAGCTTTTACCGTAAGTTACTGTCTGCTTATGGATAGAGAATAGTCTACCCTATAAGCTGTTACTCTATTTTCTATACTGAGGTAATTATGAGCCACAAGGCTTGTTTGAGTCAGACTTAACTCTGAACACTGTGGGATTTCATGTTTATCTAAATTTGTTTGAAAAGTTATGTGTTAAGAAATGGTAGAAAAATACATGCTAGAAAGTATTTTCAATTATATAAGACATTATTAAACTGTTTATCTGCTAAAAATGTATTCATTGTTCTGCGACCTTCTGGCAAAAGTTTCTAGCCAGCATTTAGGTTTGAGTCAAGTAAGATGCAATTTTTATGAGCTTTTATTTATTTTTTAATCCACTAGCTTCAAAAATAGGAGAAATCATAACAGCAGGAAAACTTCAAGTTAGTCTTACCTGCAAGTTTTGAGCTGCAAGGCAATGTTCTCTCTCCTCTGTTTCTCCAGATAATGCTCTTGATCACTTCTGTCTTTAACAGTTGTTAATGCACAGTTCTTTTTTCTTATAATCATACATATGGATGCAAGAAGCCATCTTTGTTATAGAGAAAAGCCTCAGACAGCTCCAACATATTTTGTTTACAATTCAGTAAGTCTGATATAACAAAATACTGTTTGCTTAGCTGCAGAAGCAAACCATGGCACCTGATTTAACTTGTTGCAACTCTCATGCAGTAAAGATTAGCTTAAACCGCTTTCATCTGACCTCTATGTTTGCAAGGGCAGGCAAGGTCATTTACCATGACTCAGCTGAGATGCAGTAACTCAGTCACATGCCAGAGCTCTTGGTTTACTGTTCAGCTTCCTTTTGTTAGCGTTTTCTGGTATTTGCTAAAATGTGACTTCACAGAGAAGATAAATGATACTTTCTATGGAGATTTAAATAAGATCAGGCAATGTGTCAGTCATGTATAACAAAATCTTTGGCTGATACACGTCTTAAAATTATCTTAAAGGTTGGCCTGCAAGCAGTCACTAAGATCTACTGCAAGAGGACTCCAACTACCCCACAACCAAATCATCACCTACAAAAAAAAGCAGCAGGACCCAATCTCTAATGATTGTCTCAGATTCAGGAGTTGATAACCTGTATGTGTGTGCCATAGCATGCATAGCTCAGAAATTATAAGTAATTGGCCATGACTGACACCCGGAACGGGAACTCCTAGTTTTACAGATTCCCTGGGGGGGCATGTAGTCTGTTAATACCCAATAAAAGTTTCCTGTCAAAGAACCTTTCTTGACCTTTTACGGAGTCGGACTTCTGGACACTTCCCCATGCCTGTTCCCTTTCTTACTTTCTCTGCCTTCACAGATAACCTTTTGGTTTTCTGAAACTTGGACTAGCACTTAAAAACATGTTCTGTCTCTCCAAGACTGTAGTTTTTTTAGCAGTTCTAAACTGCTAATGCATCTCTTCTCTGTCCTGGCTTTGAGCAGCATGCCTAATTGAAAGATGTCCACCTACCTCTCAGTCACTATGTTTTCACAGGATTTTAGAAATAACAATAAAAGTGTCTCTTCCTATGTTTTTATTTTTAAAATTAACTAGCATAGGAGACTGAGTGTCTCATAGCTGAAAAAATGACTAAAAACACATTTGCTAGGCTTCCTTTATAGTGTCCATGAACTTTAAAGCCAGTTATCAAGATTCTAAGTCAATGTAATATTATGAATATTTGATTTTATAGCAGATCTTATATAAATTGGGAAGCATCACTAGGGGTTGGTAAATAATCACTGGTTGGTAAATAAAAGCTACATAAAGATTTTCCTTTCTTCTGCATGGCCAAAACAAGTTATCATACTGTCTTCTCCCAAATCAAGGTATATGTCTGGAACTTAACCGTCTCTGCTGATACATAGATCTTACCTCATATTAAAGTCACACTGTAAATGCTAAGGTTAGAGGCAAATAAAACCAAATTAAGTCCTTTACCGTGAGCTACCTACATGTATGTTTTCAGTTAGAAAATTACACATGTTCTACTTGAATCATGCCTTTTAAAAATACGTTTCTGGCAGAAGACACGGATATTTTAATCCAGGTGATTAGGGCTCAGACTAGGATTTGACAGTAGAAGCTACACACCCTCCAAATTTCTTTATACCAGACTGGAACTAGAGCTGGTGGGGAAACTATTTGTGTACCATCATGAGCCCTCTCAAGAGGATTGTTTTTAGCTTGATTGTAATGCCACAGCTGCATGAGTTTTGGTAGATTACGAGGAAACCTGTGTTTCATTGCAAATTACCTCTGAATCCTGTTGTGATTTCACACTGATTACAGCTGTATAAGCATCTGAATATGCTCATCTCTGTTTAAAAGATGAAGCTACTTGTTCTGTGTTTTACTATAGTTTTTGTTAGTTCAAATAAAAGTAGAGTTATTTTATTTTCCCATAAGCATTGCTAATTTTGATATTTGGGCAGCTAGCAAGCCTTTTCAGGTACTTTGCAATTCAATTTTATTTTCAACTTTCAAGTTTAGTTAAGCTGCAAGTTTTATTGTGTGACATAATTTTTTTTTATTTTTTTTTTTTTGAGCTTAATGTGAGCTTTCTTTGTCTTGTTATGGTAATAGCTAGTTAGAGGTTTCTCTCTCCAAAAAGTGTTTTTCTGAACAGGAAATAATTATGGTCAGTTGTCTTTACCGTGGCTGTGATATCCATTTTAGCAGAAGTGCTCGGCTCTTATTTTGTTACTAGACTTTATTGCATGCTTGTAACTATCATAGTCACTTGCTAGTATGTCAGTGACTGCATTTTTGATGTTGCTGTTCTTTAAGGTGGTAGTCTTCTGTATCCAGGTTTGGTTTGCGACTTGCATATTCAGCCTGAGAAATATTTAATTTACTTTATTTATTTTTTATTGGTGTAAAGACTTGTCATATGCTTTTTTTTTTTTTTTTTTTTTTTTTTTTTTTTTTTTTTTTTTTTTAGCAGTTTTCAGAAAAGGCTTACTTCTTAAGCTCCTTTCAAAAAACAAACAAAAAACAAACCACCACCAGCAAATATAATTATAACATTCAGGCCTAAAGCCTAGTTCACCATGAATGGAGAGCCTGAAAATGCTGACTTTATTTAGTACACTTGTATAAATATATAGAGGAAATACTTGTTTCCCTGAAACAATGGAATGAATAGGGTTAGGAATTTAGCTTTTACTTTTTCTTGCTTGTGTACTGCCAGGTACTGGGATTCTGTTCCCAAGGATGGTATCACATTCCTTTTCAAAAAGTATTCATATCTCAATTGCAAACATTCCTTATTGTTTTTCTTGGACAGTCACTCACCTGATGTTGTTGTTTGACTGGCTTTTGAGGAAATAAGAATTCTTTTAGTATGGGCACAAACGAGGGTGAAATTAAATTGTGATTTTTTTTTAAATGAATAATAATACTAATATTGTTTAATTTAGTGAGTAACATCAGACAGATATTGTAGCAGCAATTTTTAAATTAAATTTGCATAACTGTGTAGCCAAAAAGTTTGCTTTAGCTAGAAAAATATGTTAAGCAGCTCCTTCCTTGCTTTACATCTCTGCTAGAGGGAGTCACTAAAACCGTAGCTTGCAAAATCAACTGCAGCTTAACTGTGCTCCTGGGATTTCAGTGCTATGCTGTGTCTGAGAAACCTCTGGAGGGTTATGTCGTAGGAGTAGCTGGATGGTTGTCAATGGGGAAAGCTCAAATGTTTTTGTTTTAAAAGAGAAAACAGAAAGTGCATTGATTCAGGTCATGAAATAAGCCTAGGATGCAAAATTTTGTGGTTCTGATTTCGTGTGCAAAACTGCTATGGTGTAGATAAATTGTTTCATGCTTGTGTGGCTGTGTGCCCTTGTTTTTTTCCTATTTATATGCGTGGACCTATAGATGTTGGAACATGCAAGTATATGATGCCATTGACAATGAACTTAAAATTTGCTTAGAACAAATATTCATCTTTTATGCCTATTGATTTTAGAAATAATAAAAAAAAACACGTTGTTTTTAGTACAAGTTTCATAAGAAAAAATATATTAAAATATCTTTTTTAAGATGGTATTAGTACTTTGGGGAAATGATTGATATATTATTTGAAACTTTAATACATTTTTGTTGATTGGACTGACCAGGAATGCAGTTGTATTCTTCTCCTTGCATGTTGATTATGCTATTTTTTTCTTATAATGTTAATGTCATGAGAAGAAAAGTATGTGGGCTAGTTTGGAGGGTTTTTGAGTTTGTCTACTGAAACTCAAACTGTAAACCTGCAAATTAAGAGCTATGCGCATTAACTTTATTGCTGTCATTTATCCTGCATTCTTTTCCTCTCCTGGTTGTGATGACTAGCTTCTAGAATGGTGGTCAAAACAAGAAATTCATAGTATTTGGCAAAACTGCTTGTGCTAAAAATGATTTCTGAAATGAAAAACTTTTTGAGATCTTTATAGGAGATAACACTTCTTTCACAGTAATGCATGGTCTGAACATAGTTCAGAAATGATTGCCTCTAAGATTGAAGTATCTGATTGTAGATGGCTCCTGGCATTTCTTGGGTCCATGTGGAGAAGAGCTAGGGCTTTAAATCAGATTTTGCACTTATTCTTAAAAACCTCTTCTGTTGAGGCTGTTTCTACCAACTGCAGATGTGGCACTGGAAAGCTGGCATTAAATCAGCATACATCTTGCAGACACATTAAAATTGCTTTTGGAAAAATACAGTGTGAGCATAAAGCCAAAGAAAATCTCTGTGACTCTTTACAGGAGAGCCATCCATCCACATGACACGGTATCACTTTTTCAAATTGAATATACCCACAGGAAATTACATTGATGCTTTGTCTTCTAATCTTCAGTTGTGGTAAATGGGCAGTCATAGAGGAGGCAATGTAAGACTGGGACTTTAAAACAAGAAGCAATTGGGCAAATTCATGAAAGAAAAGTCTTCAGTGATACCGACACAAAGACTGTCTCTCTGACGTGAATCATTATAAGCAGAGTTATAACCTTAGTGTTCTTATGTTCCTTTTTCTGGGTACTTCTTTCAAATTGGCTATTGGGTTTTATAATTCTGTTTAAAAAAGACTGCTCCTGTATTCTTATTTTGGACATGACAAAAAATAATGGGGATGCATTGCAGCAAGAAAAGCTAAAGTTATGCCTTAGGAAGAAATTTCCAGTGGCTGGCTTGTGAATTGATGGAGGAAATTCCCTGGGCAGTTTGTGGGGGCCTTTGTCATGAAAGGGCTTAAAAACAGTTGAGACAGGCTAATTTAGGAATGTCGCCTTCTGATCTGTTTCCTTCTGATTGCACAGAAATTGTTAGCCAACAAATTAATATCAGGATTAACATCTAGGAATTTCAGCTCTTCAAATTGTTTTATTGTTCATGTATATTTGTCATACTAGAAAGCTTGAAACCTTGCTCCTTCTTGTAACTGAATGTCAATTTTGAGATTTGTGAGAACTTCATTAGTTTTTTTTTTTAGGTTTTCTTTTTCCTTTTTTCAATCTTCTTTATTTTATGCAATATGAAATAACCTACTGAAGCCCATCCATACAGGACTTTGTTTTTATCAAAACTAGGATCTCTGTGGATTCATTATGGAGTTTGGATTTCCCAGGCAGCAAGGTTCAGAGACTGCCCTGTGTGGGCTCAGGATGGTTGATTGTTGATATATGGAGGCTTTCTCTGCTGTGTAATAGTGTGGAGCATAGCATACTTCAAGAAAGCCTTTTCTAAAAGAGCAAGCTGTCATGGTTCTGCTCGAGTGGGCAGCCGAGCTCCACCACAACCGCTCTCTCACTCCCCCTCCTCAAAGAGGATTGGGGAGAAAATATGTGAAAAGGGCTCAAAGGTTGAGATAAGGACAAGAAAATCACTCAAGAATTATTGTAATGGGCAAAACAGACTCAGCATAAGGAGATAGTAATAGGCAATAAATCTTACTAACAAGTGAGAGAAGTGAGAAACAAAGGAAAGAAACCAAAAGCACCTTCCCTCCCATCCACCTTCTTCTACCTCCTCCCCCCGAGTGGTGCAGGGGAACGGGGGTTATGGTCAGTCTACAGCACTTCTTCTCTGCTGCTCCTTCTCGGTCACTCTCGTCCCCTGTGCTGTGGGGTCCCACCCACGGGATGCAGTCCTTGATGAACTGATCTGGCGTGGGCTTCCCACAAGCAGCAGCTCTTCCAGAGCTGCTCCAGATATGGGTCCGTACCACGGGGTCCATCCCTCAGGAGCAAACTGCTCCAACCTGGCTCCCCTACGGGCAGTAGTTCCTGCCAGGTCACCTGCTCCTGCGTGGGCTCCTCTCCACAGGCTACAGGTCCGGCCCGGAATCTGCTCCGGCAGGGGTCTTCCACAGGCAGCAGCCTCGGTCGGTGCAGGGCCACCTGCTCCACCGTGGTACTCCATGGGCTGCAGGGGGACATCCTGCTTCACCATGGTCCTCACCACAGGCCGCAGGGGGCTTCTGCTCCGGCGCCTGGAGCACCTCTCCCCCTCCTTCTACACTGACCTTGGTGCCGTTCCTCACTCCTCTCACTCTCCCAGCTGCAGTGTGGCGCAGCGTTTTTTTTCCTGTCTTAAATATGCTCTCACAGAGGCGCAAAACAACATCGCTTATTGGCTAAGATCTGGAAAACAATGGGGCCCTTCCCAAACATGGGGCAGCTCCTAGATCCTTCTCACAGAAACCACCCTTATGGCTCCCTGCTACCAAAACCTTGCAACGTAAACCCACTACACAAGCTTAATCCATATTTATGTCAAAAAGCCTTTATTTCTTAAGTAAAGATTACATGTCCTTTTGCAGTAAGGATCTCAAAGCATTGCAGAGGTGGTTAATATGTATTTCTGTGTGTGTAATTTTACAGATGAGGAAAAGGCCAAACTGTCTAATCTGCCTTTCACCCATGATCACGCAGCAAGTGACAGTCCTCCTTACTCTCAGCCCCAGAATGTCTTTAACTGTGCTTCTTCCGGCCTCCATGACATGGAAGTAATGCTGTAGTTATTAAGGCTGTTTAGAATGATATAATTACTTCTGCAAAAATCAGACCAGCGTTGTTGCAACTCATCAGTCCATATGTTTTTAGTTGTATTCTGGAACTCCTTTACAAAATCATTCCCTGATGTTTGTTGTTCTGTGGAAGCTATTTTTAAACTAAACAACAGCTCTTTTTTGGTGAAAAGAACAAAATGGATTTTCTGTAGAAACAGCTGAGGATTGCTTTTCAAGCACCGCTCTTCTTCGTAAGTAAACAGAAATACTACCATCATTAAAACTCAAAAACCAAAGAACCAAAGCCAAAACCTGTATTTCATAAGTGTCTAGTGTGTTACTTTTGTTCTTTTTCTTTTTTTATTATTATTTTTTTTTTTTTAATACTTTTGAAACAAATCATGTTGCATTTCTCTGGAGTTTCTGTTATTTGCAAAACTAGGACTGAGCAGTGGCATGC